CCATAGTACTCTGAAAGTTATGCCGTAATAATCTGTATAATTTATGCAGACACGTGTTTATATATCAGGTATAACACACACATATATACAATGTCATGATTTGGTAGCCACTTATTCAAGTATAGCTACTACTCTGTAGATAAGGCGGAAAGCCCAATTATATCTGTTCTTTTCATTGAAATCTCAGTGTGTTCCCCCCCCCAGAGTACTCTGAAAGTTATGCCGTAATAATCTGTATAATTTATGCAGACACGTGTTTATATATCAGGTATAACACACACATATATACAATGTCATGATTTGGTAGCCACTTATTCAAGTATAGCTACTACTCTGTAGATAAGGCGGAAAGCCCAATTATATCTGTTCTTTTCATTGAAATCTCAGTGTGTTCCCCCCCCCAGTGTAAAATTCCCAGTAAAAATGCATTTACTCATTCATGTATTTTGTGACCACCAGTCAGTATTTTTTTCCCTAACTTGAATTTATTCCAACAAGTGGCTTTAAAGCAGTAGGACTAAAGGGAAAAAAAAGGTGTTCTTCATAGTTCAAAAATTCTTCTACTGCTCTTTGCTGTGTCCTCATTCAAAATGGTTTCCTTGGGAGACATCCAATGGAGGTTTACATGAAAGAGCTCAGTGAGATCTAGTGCACAGGATCAAATTTGAGACACGGGCCAGCGTATGCAAGAGTCAGTTGCTGGCAAATTAGGAACTCCAGAATCCAGTCATTTCCCTAAAGAATTTTGCACCCATCCTTTGGAAACCCACTGTGGAGCTGAGCAGGACTGCTGACAGAAGGGGAGGGCAAAGGGAGCAACTACCCCAGCAGTTGGTGATTCAAAGGGCCCCAGCGCCCTGACCCTTTAAATCGCCAACAGAATCCTCGGTGGGGCGCTCTGAATGGCGCTGAAGAGGTGGGGCACGTGGTCGAGGCAGTGCTGAGGGCAAGCTGCCCTGGCTCCACCCCTTCCAATCTAGCACTGAGCCACCCCTGCCCAAGAGCTTAGCGAATCAGTGAGGCATTTACAAAGTTTGCCTGGCTCCACTACAGTGCCAGAAAGCACTCAGCCAGAGGATCGGGCATCTCAGGGCATGTCTACACTGCCGGGCTAAAGTTGGAATAAGCTACGCAACTTGAGCTACGTCAATTGCGTAGCTAAAGTCGAAATACTTATTTCATCTTTTGATGCTGTCTACACAGCAGGAAGTCCGAGGAAGGGTACTCTTCCTTTGACTTCCCTTACTCCTCATAAAATGAGAGTTACAGGAGTTGGAGTAAGAAGTCCTCCAGCTCACCATTATTTCAACAATATGTTGAAATAAGGGCTTGTAGTGTAGACGCAGACTTTGTTATTTTGGAATAACATCAATTATTTTGAAATAATGCTGCTGTGTAGACATAGCCTCCATGCTCTCTTCTTCTTCAGATGGCATTGGTGGCCACAGTTAATGCTGGGTGACTTACTGGGGGACATTTACCCGTTTCAAAATTCTGCATTTCTTTTACATTTAACCTCAACTTTGGATTTTCTGTTCTTCCCATTCTTTTTATTTGTAAACCATTTTTACTTTCAATGAACTGACATGTAGTCTCAGTCTTAATTCAGCTTTAACTTGGCTGTCAATGTGACAATGTCAGAAAACATCTCCGTGATATACCATAATACATTTATTAGGTAGCTTGTCTACGGTTTCATACAAAAGCTCTCAGGCTACTGAAGTGCAATTTAGACCTGGGAAGATACCAAATGTTACTGCAGAGTCTTTGCTCCCCAAGGACTTGCTGTTTAATCTTGGATCGATTTAGTAGCAGTCAGCAGTCAGTATCAGAAACAGAGCAACATAATTAGGGCTATCATCTGCCAGACACCGTATATGTTCTGTTTATCAGTGAACGGACTAAGCATTAGGGGCCAAATTTATTGGTGATGTAATGTCTTTGAACTCAGAGGAACTCAACTGGGAAAGGGAATGAGGAATCTGACTTTATGGACTAGAGTGTGATTGTGAAGGAGCATCAGGACTAGCGAGAGTGTAAGAAAAACAGCTGGGTGGGCACCAGATTTTCCATTTTCTGTGGAATTCTGCTCATTTTCTCTCTCTCATTCCAGAACAGAATGAGAAAAAAAAATCAAAACTGTCTGCAAACAAAATTATAAAATTTTTCTCCTTTGGATCAATCAAAACATTTAATTCCGATTGGACTGTTTAAAATATATACAGGCAGTCCCCGGGTTACGTACAAGATAGGGACTGTAGGTTTGTTCTTAAGTTGAATTTGTATGTAAGGCGGAACTGGCTTCCAGGTTCAGCCGCTGCTG